CATATGGTTCCAATTAGAAACTTGCTCAGCGTCATCGAAAACCACCAAATCAGTCATTTTCAGAAAGACTTTCGGCGCCTGAGAAGCGTAGTATTGTACTAAAGTTACCACTCGTGGAGCAGGTGCAAGGCTTTCTGAGCGGAGCGTGGAGCGAAAGCTTCCGCTGGGAACCTCCTGGGTTCGATCCCCGCCGCCCCCGCCCGTTTCGATCTGGATGAGTTTCGTACCGGCACGCGTTCGTGTGATCACTACTGCGTGATGCACGTTAAAAACCCCAGGTTAGCGGTTGTACTGCACTGGCTAAATTTCTCATCTACAGCAAAGAGACCGATTACCCGTTGTGGCGCATCTCCATCAAGGCTATATAAACATAAAAAGCAAACCATTTTTTTTTTTCGGGCGCCTTATCGCAATTGCTAGCTTTATACCTGCTCCACGAGTGGTAACTTTAGTGCACTACTACGCTTCTCACGCGCTCAAAGTCTTTCTGAAAATTACTGATTTAGTGGTTTTCGATGACGCTGAGCAAGTTTCTATTTGCAACCATATGTCTATTTTCATTAATTAAAAAGTTAATTAACGAATTTTATTTAATTAGCCGACTGATCGTTACAATTAGCACCCTATAATATGTCCCCCTGGCCGTATAACTCACATCCACGAGCGGCATAAGCGTGGCTTTCACGGCTTTTTTTAAACAAATCTGTTAAGCTTAAAAAAAACACCCTGTATATATAATTGTGCCTCCAAGTTAATGAACTTTCTTTTTGAGACATGTCGGAACAACGGAGATTTTTTTTATTTACATACGACAGGAATACATTATATGTCATTTGATAGCCTATTTTAGAATAAAAACTGCGCGAAAAGTTTCATTTTTGTAACTTAGAGCGTTACGAGATCACAGCTCACAAATATAGGGTGAACACGTCAGGGTAGTCAAGTTTGTGATTTGTTCACGCACGCAATATAACTCCAAATCTGTATAAACATTCCTATGTTGTCATAAGCTACAACGCGTTTATAAAATACGCCAGCTATGCGCTTTTTGTAGTTTGCGTCTTATCAGTCGTCAAACTTGACAAAAACGACAGAACCCCAAAAGAGGGTTGCCCTCTTGAGGCAGTCGTGATTTGCTTCCCTCTCAAGTTATTTTTGTTTCTCGCAAACGTTTGTCTGATTACGTTGCCGTCACAGATTCGGGAGTAACGGATAAAAATATGATCGAAAAGAAACACGTTGAGCATTCCAGAAACGAACTTCTGGCGTGGTGCCTCCAAGTGCCTCTTTCATTGTTCGAGGGTGTAGCGCGTGCTTTCCGAAGCGACGCACCTGCTCGTGCCGGGCTGTGATGATCGCGCGCTGGGCTCTGATTTTTCTTGGCGAATTCCCCTGGGCGTTTTGGAGCGCGCCGGGATCAGTTGACCAGATCCGGAATGGAGCACACGATCCGAACGGGGTTCGGAGTCGCGCCGCCTACGGATCCCCAGTGGAGCATGACCACTGCTCCGGGATCGGCGGATGCCTTCCCGTCATTCAACTGCCCGGGAATCCCCTTTCCGCGGCCGCCGCGGTCGTTTCGAAAACGTTTTCGCAATCGCGGCGCTAACACGTGTTCGACGCACGAGCGGCAGGAATGGCTCAGGAGCTTCTAGCAAAGATTGCCGGAATGCCCGTAGCGCGGCAAAACCTTCTCCTTTATGAAAAACGAACCGGCTGTCGAGCCAAGGGGTAAGCAAGCGGCGGGCATTACGAATTCTTCCGAGGCGAGATGGGCGAGAGCAGGCGAGATGCCCTGCGAGAAAGGAAGTCACGTGTGTGCGCCGAGGGCCTGTGGAATTCGCCATCTGGCATTTCAGAAGTGATGAGCCAGTGTACAGCTTAAGACGCTGAAAACGCGCGAGGCCACGGGCACCTATGCGGCGCGCAAGTATCGTCTGCTACTTTTGCGGCTGTTTCGGTGATGTCAGAACGCCGAGTTCTGATTGACTTTGATTGAAGTATAGTGGGTAGACGTCAAGGCAGCTTGCTTTGCGGTCTACCCACTATCCTTCCAATCTGAGCCAATGAGAACTCGGCGTTCTGACGTCACCGAAACAGCCGTAAAAGTAGCAGACGATACTTGCACTCCGCATAGCTTTCACTTAAAACGCTGTAACAAAGCCCTTTCAAAAAAAAAAAAAAAAAAGGGGGGGGGGGGCTTTTGGTTGGTTTTATTTTTAGTCTTCGTGTGCATGGCGCGTGGTTTGTTCGCTTTTCGAAGCGACGAATATGCGCGTGCTGAGCTGAGGATATCGCACGCTGGGAGATGACGAATTGGCACGTGCACACTGCCTAGCACTTTCGCTTTCATTGAAATTGTGCCGCAGACGCGCGTCATGGCTACCACGCGTGCAGGCCCGTGCAGCTAGCCTGCGCTTGAATAGACCCGTTGCTCTCGGGCAGGGGGCGCGAGCGCGTCCTCAAGACGCGACCATGTCATGCTGGCAGCACCACCCAGGCGGCGCTGTAACGTTCGATTTTGCACGTGCCGCGTTCGAATGCAAGCATCTATCAGCATCTGTAGACGCGCGATAACAAAACGTCTAAAAACTAAAATAAAAAAAAAAAAGAAATATGCAGCTCGCGGCCTCGGCGTTCCAATAAACATTCCTTTCAGCTTTATTACTGTATTGCTCTCTTTGATAGCTTCCGTGAGCCCGTATGTTTTACTTCACTTGATAGCGAAGCCGAAGCTATACTTGCTAAAGCATGTTCTCCTGAACGATGCTCGCACTGCACGAGCGCGCGTGCTTGGCAGGTATGTACACTGAAAGCTCGGAGCTCGCTTTTCTAGCCTCTCACGGAGTATAAAAAAAACTTTAGTGGGGGAAGCGTATTGACGCATGTTCGAAACGCGAGCCAAATATTCTATTTTTCTCGCCTGGAGCGCTGCTCAAAACTTGAGAGCTACGGGCCTATAAGGTAACTTTGCCGGGCTGGCAGCTGCACGTGCTTGCTTCTTCGAGCAGAGACGCTCGACGGATATCACCTAGAAGACAAGGCGGTCGCACGACGTCGTTGTTCGTGGGTGCCGGAGCAAGCGGCCAACACACCGGAGCTGGACTCGAGTCGCTGCAAAGCGGCAGACGTCTGGGCGACGTCGAATGCTGTCGTCGCGCTCGACGCTGCGAGACGCGCCGGCGTTGATGGTGACGCAAGGAAATGGGTCTTGTCTTCTAGGTGGGGCTTACATTTGAATACCTCCTCTGAGATTCGTGCACTGGCCTTCCCAACTAAAATAGAAAGCGGGGAATGGCAGGGAAAATACCCCGTAACCCGAATACTTCCGACGCTACAGCCGTACACACTCACCCGGCTGTTTGGTTGCGTTTTAAAAGCACCAGACACGGCAACGAAAATGTTTTGATAAGAACCGCCCCCCTTTTCGTTCGAAATGCCGCATTGCGACAGCCGCTTTTCAAGCGCCGATGGGCGAGGGACATGACCAGCAACTTTAGGTCTTGAATCAATTGTGAATCAAGTATAACGTCGAATAATATCAAATAATCAACGACGGCGATCATTTTAGAACGAAATAATCTTGAATATCAAGTAGACCGATCTCGCCAGGCTGTTTGGCTGCGCCGCCGCTGCCGCGATGCATTCGGGGAACTTTCGCCTTTCTGCACGTGCGTGCAGTCCTGCGCGTGCGGAGCACGCCACAGTGCGAGCCCTTTCGTGCACTGCCGCGTTCTTCCTGTGGGCTAAAGTTGTGGCAGCGTCACGCATGCGCCGAACGCTCGGTGAGATCGGCCTATTGAATGATTTGTTCAAGTTCGAAGGTTGCGATAAAAATATGCATTTAATAATTTCGTTCAAGAGCAAACTTTTCGTTATTTAATTAATGCACTGCAACGGTGTTTTGCATCTCGGCATGGCTTTATGAGGATACATAATCAGCACTTGGGCAATAAATATGATTTTGCAACGAAAAATCCAGTCGATATTTCCAAGCTTCCATTCATAAGCTGCTAGAGCTCGTTTGGCTCGAATAAATCTTTGAGCTATAGTCGAGGGTATTTAGAAACCTCTCGCTCTACCCAAATATTTCCTTCAATCGCAGGTTTAAAAAAAAAGAAAAATCCTTACGGTTTATGATGCCCGCAGGTCCTCAGGACATCTCAGCCTATCCCATATACTTCTATAATAGCCGAGGTTCTGGTTATAAATTGTTTTATTGTAACGCAAACTCATGCACTATGTTCTTAGAAAGAAAAAAAAAATAATTTCCACGCGCATACCTTTTTGAAAAGGTGTTTGCTATAAGCACGCGGCTACCTTGAGGCGAAGCGAGATATGCACCATCGCGCTACGTACAAATTTCGCCGTGGAGATGCTTTTTGAATCTTTTCTGGAACAGGGGACGAAGGCAACCGCAACTTAGTACTGCTGCCAGAGTTTCACGCGCGATGAGAGAAGCATAATAAGCGTGTTTGCGTGATCCATTATCATTCATACAGCGCACGCTGTACTACCTGAAGTAGTGTGCACGTTGAGGGGGAGTTTTCAAAGCGCACTTCGCGCGACGTACGCTGCGCCAGTTTTGCTTCTCCTCAGCACACCGGTGCCTGGCGTGAAGCGTGCTGAACAGAGCCGACAAACCCGCTCGCCTCAAACAGACCACGAAAACAGAAAGAAATATAGCAAAATGTATTTGTACCATCATTGTTAGTACCTTGTAGGACATCAGTCGAATCGATAATCAGGAGCTCTAAACTTTTCTACACGTCTATCGTAGCGGCTGGGTAATGTAGAGAGGGCCTCAATTATTGGTTTCGTTATTGAGAAGGAGATTAACCTTTTCCAAAGCGTTGGCGCAATTTCCCCACATTTTTTAATGAAATGTCTCATAATGGGCGGGGGGCGGGGGGGGGGGAGGGGGGGAGGGGGGGGGGGCAGTTTAGCGCAAGTGGCGCACCAGTCCGATCATTGTGGATCAAATGTGAACGTCGATCACAATGATAGGCGCTCTTCGAGGCGTTCGTTCTTCTCGGCATTGTTACGCCCCACGGCCCCGAAAAAAAGAATAGAAAAAGAAACGTAAAAAAAATTCCGCTTCGCATGGTATTGTGTGGCTTCTGAGTCCTGGCCTTCTCGCAGGTCAAGGCTGCTTGGGCGCAACAGCGGCGGCGGCTGCAGGTTCGGCATGCGGTGGCGTCAATCAGCTCGGAGGTAGCTTCGCCAACGGCAAACCGCTGCCTTTCCACGTGCGCCTTCGAATTCTCGAGCTGGCCCTCTTCGGCTACAGACCCTGTGACATTTCCCGCCAGCTTCTCGTCTCTCACGGCTGTGTCTCCAAGATACTGGCAAGGTTCACCGAGACTGGCTCGATCCTGCCGGGCGCCATCGGTATACGTTTGCTGTAGCGTACACGAGAAACGGCAGCGATGACCCGGTGACCTCCTATTTTGCGGTTTTCCTCAGGTCACTTGGTCTGTCGAAGGGTAGCTCTCATGGAAGTTGCGGCGCTTATTGGCCCGGTGACGCTGCATGCAGTAGGGAAGACCTGACTAAGCTGGCTATTTTCAAATATGTTTTATTTTATTAAGAGAATCGACAGAAAGGCAGATTCGTGGGTTCAGCTTCCGATCTGGAAACGCACTTGGCGTCGACTAAACGAAATTAAAAAAAATATTAATAATAAAAAAAATATACAGCGGGCGTTTTCATCTCAATTCAGGCATGGTTTTGGGGTCGAATTTTTAACTTTGACAAAATAAATATATGTTTTCGGAGCATTCTTAAATGAAAAAAAAAAACAAAAAAAAAACGCAAACGGCAATCTTGACGGATTTTTTGTTTACAATCTTTTGTTTACAACTGACGTTTCTCCCACTGGTCGGGGATTGCATGTTTGACCGCTCGCTATTTTTTCACTTGTCAAAATAAAAACACTAGAACTCTTGTGTGACACTCTTGGACTAGCTTTTATTATGCTTAAAGAGACACTGACACCCCCAATATTTTTTTTTTGCCAGGCGATTCATTATGGTGTCACAAGACTACCCAATGAATATTTCGATACAGCGTCACGTGTATTTTTAATAGAGTCAAAAGATGCAACTGCTCGAAACCGAAACCAAAACTGGACTAGGGAAGAAGTCACGTGGCTGTGATATAGCTTTTTAGAATCCACAAAAGATGGGTATGATATTTCTTTTCTTTTTTTAATATTGTGTGTGTGTCTTCGGTGACCAACGACTTTGATTATATTTGGTGGTTGTCTAAACTATAACAAACGGCACGTGACCATGGAGAAAAGACTGAGCGCGACTCAAACTGGCCAGTTCTCGATCGGCGGTTTTGGGGCGGTAAGAAAACGAGCTTCGAGCCGCGTCTAGTTTTCTGGGTAGTTGGGCTCTCATATGTCATGTACAAATAAAAACTTCGGCGAGCATAAATACCCTGCCAGAGTTCGATTTCTATTCTTTTTGATGATTTTCGGCAAAGCTTGGCAGGTTCTTGCGTGTGGCCTAATTAAGATATTTTATTGACATTGACATCACCAGAAAGCTGAAGTGTAGGTATTTTTAATAAATACATATTCAATATTATATAAGAATAAAAATAAGAGAGTTGATAAGATTACGATAAATGACAGCATTGTTTCGGATAAAAAAGAAATTGCTCAGCATTTCAGACGTTGTATTTTTATTTTTATTTTCACTCAGTTTTTCGGAAATAAGGAAGATTATATGAATTGCCGCGCTTCTTCATTGCCATTTATGACTGCTGATTTTATTTCATATGAAGGTGATTCGTTAATGAAATTATACTTGAAAACGAAAGCTGGAGTAGGCACTTATAAGATTCCAAATATCTTTTTCCGGAGATATGCAGAGTCCTTGGGGCAGGCTTTTTGAGGGTAATATTTAGAACTTCCTTTCTCACTAACGCGCTGCCTAACGGCTGGGTTTTATCACGTGTAGTCCTTGTGTTAAAAAAGGGAGACACATTATCACTAAACAGTTATCGTCCTATTTCTCTTGCGTGTACGTTTTGCAAAATCATGGAGCGTATAGTTTGAAACTATTTATTCTTTTTTTTTTAAGATAATAACTTTTTATCTTTTTTCTAACATGGGTTCAAGTAGGGGCTTTGTACCACTATGCAGCTCGTAACCACCGTTCACAACTTCGCCGCTAGCCTTAATAAATCGGGTCAGACAGATGTTATTTTTCTTGATATTTAACAAAGCGTTTGAAGTTGTCACGAAAAAAGAATTAATTTTTCATGAGTTTTCATTAAAAAAAATCATATTTATCTTAGAAAATAGTGATCTCCCTTCATTTAAATGGATTAAATTATACCTTCATTGTCGGAATGCATTTGTTGACGTTGACCGCGAATCGTCAAATGCATTGTGCTTTCTTCGGGCGTGCCTCAGGGCAGTGTCCTCCCCTTACAAAAATTATCAATGAGTTTCAATTGTGTTTCTAATGTATTCTTATAAAATACATTAAAAACTCAATTGAAACTCAATGTTTTTTTTTGTAAGGGTCCGACTCTTGTAAATATGAGGCTCTTTGCTGTTGATTGTGTTTTGTTTAAATACATCACAAGCTCATCCGACCAATATATGTCAAACTATTCACTTTCAAGAATTGCCGAATGGCAAATAAAATTAAACGCTGAAAAAATTTTCACTTTGATTAAAAGAAATAAAAAAGAATTACGTTTGGGCTTATTTATGATATCTGTGGCTCCCCTTTTTCCAAAGTTTCTGAGTACAAGTATTTCGAAGTGACCATTTCTAAAAAATATTTATTTTTTAAATCTTTAATTTCAATAATCTCTGTTCATCCGCATTTCGGAAACCATGGTTTCCTTAAGCGCAAGCTAATGAAAATACCATCCAGTGTCAATCCTTTAGCTTACAACACTTTTATACCCTCGAAACTCAAGTACGCTAGCCTTATTTGGAACCTTCACACACACACAGAAACACAAAAAAAAGAAGAAAATTCAAAGCTAGAAATGGTACAGAGGCTGCGGTCAGATTCATCTATGGAAAACTTAAAAGGTTAGACCCTCCATCACAGCTCATGGAAGTAAATAGCATAGCAACGCTTGAACTGCGCAGGGCGCAGTAAGCTAGCCAAGTTTAAATTCTTATTCTTTGATCTAAAAAAACAATGTTCGACTTCATACACATAATTATCTTTTCCCACTAATATCACGACCTTCACGGCACCATAACCGATACTCATTAACACAAGTATTTGCACGCACTAATCGTTTAAAGTTTTCATTCTTTCCCCACGCCATCTCGGAAAGGAACTCCTTATTTTCTAGCATTTATGAGGCTAACAATTTTTGTGATGCCAATTGACAATTACTTTTCTTAATATTTTTACATTAGTGAACTGCGTATTTCGGCTTAGTTTGGGTTTTGTAAGTCAACCCCCCCCCCCCTTTCTTTTTTTTTTTCTTAGTTTTTTTTTTCTTTTTTAGCATGACATTTGAGTTTATAAATGTGCAGGTATGCCTGTACAACTGCTGGTGCTGCCTCACAATTAGGATTTCGTATTTTCGGAAAAAAATCTGATAAACACTTCCCGACAAATTTTCTGTTAATTCGGATTTACCCGAAAACCTCCGAATTTCGAAGTTACGACAAAATAAAAAGGAAGAAAGAAGGTGTTTTACGAATAAACTTCATAAGAGCACAGGGTCACTGGTCCTGAGGATATGCCGCTTCAGTTCCCTAGAACTACGGACAAAAGGAGTTTGCCTTTTAGCACGTCGAGGTTCCTTCAGGACAAAGTGTCTTGTACTCGGACTTTATTTATTTTATTTTCGAATTTTTAAAATTTAAGGACACAGTAAATAAACTCCGAATTTCAAAGAATTGGGAATCTAACAAAAATCAACTCCAATAAACCCCAAATTAGCAGCGAAAAATAAACTCCGAAAAACACCCACCGAATTTCACGAGAAATAAACTCCGAAAACACGAAGTTTTACTCATAGAGTAAAATTTTTTTTTCTGATTTTGACAAGTGTTTTTTATATGTATTTGTGTTTATTACTATCCACTGCTGCTTCGGCCAGTTTCTGGCCTGCAGTATGTTATAAATAATGAGATAGCACACTACAATGTTGGCCAGAATATACCATGCGAGGATGCAGACACAACGAACAACTGACAAGATTTAAGCTTTAATTGCTGTCATACAAATAATACTAGTATACTATATTTTCTGTTTATATTTATTGATAAACCACAATCATAGTTTACACTAATAAATTACAACGAAAATAAATAATGGGGATTTAAAAACAAAATCTCTCACGAATTTGCTGAATTTTTTAAACAGTTCATTCAAATGTGTGTACCGTATTTTATTTTGGAGATATTATATTGAACTTGTATTCAATAAAAAGAGCTCATCCTGAGCTTTGCGGTGATGTTAAGGTCATTAAATTATTTTATGTAGGTCACACTTAAAGACATGTCAAACTTTGCCAAAAATCATCAAAGACAGACAACGATTTTTATGCTACCTGTCGGGAATCGCATGTTTGACTACTCGCTATTTTGTTACTTCTCAAAATGCTGCACTATTACTCTTCTGTAACACTCTCAAATAGATGTATTACTCTCAATGAAGTAAAAAAGACTAGTTTTATTGCAATAAAAAAAAAAGTCGAATTGTGTCTCTGATGATTTTCGGCACATTTTGGCAAATTTTTAAACTGTGACCTACTCAAGATATTCTAATGACCTTTACATCGCCGGAAAGCTCAGGCTTAGCTCGTTTTATTGAATATAAATTCAATACATAATGCCTAAAGCAAGATATGCTACGTACATTTGAAGGAACAAATGTTTCGAAAATCCAGCAAACTTGAGACCGATTTTTTTCGAACACCCAATTTTTTTCATTTCCCTCGTGTTTTAAAACAGAAAATAAGAAAGGAACATTGGTATCATAATTTACGTAGGAGGTCGTTGTTATTCGAGGCTAGAACAGTAATATTGAGGTCTAGGACATATGGGACAAACTATGAGGAAATGGATACGCGATGTGCCGTATGCCAAGGGAATGACTAGACAACATGTTGTGCTGAGGTGCACAGGGCTTGCTCCCGCCCTCCCGGAGGAGGCGAATGATTCAGCCGGAGCGCTGAGGTTTGCAAACCATAATGCAAGAATGGATGAGAAGTGCATTTTAATAACAGAGGACATTAGAAGACTGGTGAAAATTATCTAGGAAGAATGAAATGACGTACAACTAACTAAGTTTGATAATGCAATTAAATGCAAAGGTGCAAGCGAGCTGGACAATAATTACGAAGCCAGGGATCTCTCCATTTGAAATGGAGAGGTCCCTAATTCGACAACAGGACTACGCAGATTTTTTCGGTCCTGCATCAGTCACTTGTCCCCCTTCTTCCCCTTCTCCAGGGATTAATTTCGTAACAACTAACTCCCCCAGTTTTCCTCTGTCCCACCTGTCCCAGGCGGAATAAGGAAAATTGAGACTCCCTCCCGCGTGACTCCGGCCCAAAGACTCAACCCTGCCTCCCAGTGGGCCCGGCGCTGGGGGAACGCCGACTAGATTTGACCAGAGGAAAATTGGCGACTCCCTCACCGAGGGGAAGAAACAGGAAGTAGTGTTTTTAATTTGTTTGTTTTCCCGGTCCTCCAAAGGTCATCCTGGTGAAAAAAATTGGCTTAGAAGGGCGAAGGGAGGAATCATAGCTTTGGTTTTTAATATCTAGGCTAGGTGGCGCAAGCTACCGCCCGTTATAAAAGGTACAGCCGTTAGCACCCATCCATCCGTCCATCCAATTACCTAATATTATTACCTTAATTAATATCTAACCTTAAAAATTAATTGTGCGTAATGCGGAGTTAAGGGCATTTTACTCCGTAACAAAGCTTGCCGTTTTTGCAACGCACATCTGACAAGGTTCAAGCTTTAAAGGGGCACTGACACATCAAAATCATATTTTATTTTACTATCCGAAACGATTGAAAACGATGCCTGGACATTACCCTCAAAATTTGAAACTTGGGAATTCAGTATTTCTGAATTAAAAAAAACAATTTCCAAATGCAGAATTTGAAGTTCCCGCGCGATCCGCGCCGGTGCAGTGAGTCAAATTTTGCGGTCTCCTGCGACTTGACTTTCTTTCGGACCTCCGCTCCACGCTGTGAAGCTAAGCGCCGTTGCTACCGCGGCCTGAAGCGAGGAGGAGGCGAGCAGGCGGGATAGAAGGGTGCCGGCGCGGGAAAAAAACCGGTTTCGTCCCCGACTCGCCGATAATCCTCCGCTCGAGCGCCGCCAAGTTTTCCGAGGGAGCATACAAATCCAGGAAGCGACATCACACCGAAATCTTATTTTCGGTATTTCAAAAAGAAAGGCCGTATTGCGTTCGCAATTGCGTTAAAAAACATGTTTTACGATTGCCGTGATTAAATGTTATAGAAAGGTCGCCTACAAAGCTTCTAAATTTCCTGATTTTTGACGTCACCGATCAAAAGAAGCAAGGAGGTGAGCGCGGGAAATATAAACGCCAAAAATAAAAAGGCGCGCGCGCGCGCGGGGAAATTTTTTTTCGCGATGCGGTTTTTTTTGCGTGTTTATGACTACAACTTGCATCGTTTTATACAATAAAAAAGAATACGACCTTTGGGGTGTCAGTGCCCCTTTAATTATGGTTATATAAAAAAAAACTACTATATGTTATACTTATATTTTTTGTAATAAACCACTACTATACCTTGCTGCTCATGAAACAAAGAAGTAAATAAAAAAAATGCGCGTTTTTGAGAAAATCGGTTTTGAAATTGCTAGACTTTCGAAACATTCCTGTTTATATGTGAAGAATTTTATTTTGTACGCATAATATCAAATTTGTGTTTATCGGAAAGAGATAGATTTGAGCTCACTGGTGATGCCAAGGTCATTAAAAAATCTTAAATAGGCCACACGTAAGAAATTGTCAAATTTTGCCAAGTCATCAAAGGAACACAGATTGACAAATTTTTTTGTTTAAATTATTTAAAAATACAAGTTTCTTTTTAATTCTTTACATTTATGAAATCTACTTCGAGTGTGTTAACAAAGAGGCCTAGTGCTCTTATTGAGAAATTAGAAAATAGTGAGCAGTCAAACATGCAATCCCCGACCGGTGGGAAGAACTTCAGTTTTCGCCTCGGCCACTTCAAAGGTCCACCACTTCAAAAATAAGAAATCCGCCAAGCTTGCCGTTTGTGCTCTCTTTCAATTCAAGAATGACCCCACAACATATATATTTTTGGTCAAAATTAAAATTTCGACACCAAAACTGTGCTTGAATTGAGATGAAAACACCTAGTACTAAATTAACACCGAAGATAAGCTAGATGTGTCAAAAGAATTACCTTTGCTGATGAAGCCTTTCATTTTGTCCTAGACATGATTCCAAAGTATTTGGACAAAATGGCTGTGATGTTAATTAATGCACCTGTTTGTTTTGACTTAGGACCACTATGTTTGTGATTTCGATTGTATGTCTCAGGGTGGGGACATTATATTTTTCTGCATCAGTTGCTGTTTGCACATGCTGCACAAATGGCAGCAAGCTTGTGTATACATGGGTTGCACGTCATACAAAGAGCGCTCCGATGACCATCGGAGACAAGGCCAAGGAGCTCCCCTCTTATCAGGACCCTCTTTTGTGTCTCCCGGATTGGCACAGGCGTCGCTGTTGTCCTCCCAGATTATAGAATATTAACCCGTCACTCAAAAGTCTTACAAAAGTCGCTTCCTTCTCCTCCTCTTACATGGTGGTCAAAATTATGCGATCTGATGTCAGTGCAACCCATGTATAGAAAATGGCCAAATTGTCTCTACCCTACAGATGACAGATGTGTAAAGGCACCCTAATTTATTTAGTAATACCATTTCTTTTGGTAGTTTTAGTAGAATGGTTACAAGGTGTTTTATACAAATCATACATTCAGTTGATTCTGTTGGGTGAAGACAATCATTGTGGTATGTGGTCATATAATAGGCAGTGGACAAGATGCAAAGTCAACATAGATGGGAATAGGCAAATGAAGTGTGGTACACCACAGCGCACAATTATCATACTACTGAAACATTTTGGCCTCCATCCATTCAGCAAGAGGCATCAATCAGCGTCTGCAGCTAGCAAGCTCAGAATTTTCGTCAAGCGTTTATTTTAAGTGTCAGTGTTACCCCATGAAATTTCTAGATGTAGCTGTAAAATTTTAAACAACACGAATTATATGCCAGCACATTAGAAATCCAAGCTAATGCTTTAGTTTGGACTAGTTTCGTAGCCCTAGTCAACACAGATGATCAAGACACTAGGCAGGCCCATATTAAAAATTCTATTTTGCATATCATTGTTTCTTTCACAAATTTTTGGCATGAGGGCTTAGATAATAGGTTTCCACAAAAAGTCTGCTACATTTTATTCCACCAAAAACAAGGACTAAAAGGTGACACCATGCAGTTGAAGCGCCTTCACGTCAACGGAATGCATGCAAGCAAAAGAAGCACATAGAGGTGCACGTTTCCTTACCCTGGAGTACTTACACCAACGTGCACTGCAATACTGTGGAGAAGTGGCCAAGCAAAAGATTCATTTCAGCTGCGTGGGAAAGTGATGCCAATGTCTACTGTATTGTTTCAGGTTTAAGACATAGCTTTAAAGAAAGTCATGTAGGCCTGACCAAACTCTTGGTACTTAATTTGCATTCAAGCTCATTAAGAATTAAGTTAGCTTGTATATTTATTCTGGCTTGTAGTATAAAGGAATCCTGGCCCCTGCAGCATTGTTATGCATCACAGTACAGAGCAGGAATAGGGAATGAAAAGGAAAAGACAGACAAGGTCAGAGCGTCATCCGGCAAATCTTAAGCATTGCAGCCTGCAGTCTTACCTCTAGTATGATTGAGCCACTGAACTTGTCCAACCTTTGCCAATAGGTCTACACCCACACTTATACTGAGGGAAATCCGTTCATGCCATTAAAAGCCTACCTGCCAAATATTCTTCAGCGGGAAATTTGTTTTTTGCACCTGCTGATGGAAGAAGAAAGAAGCTGCCCCTTTTTTAGGAATATGCGGGGACAAGATAATCCATAATAGGCAGAAAAGCAGCATTGGGGTCGACTCAGTGAAGTTGCTTAGATTTAGTTCGCTTGACTGGCAGCAATCGGGAAAGGAGGGAAGGGAAAGCCGGGAAGAAAAACTGTCAGAATTTATTGGCCATTTCCGAAGTCTATCAGTTTTCACAAACTGAATTAAGACATGACTGTTACCCTTCTGATAACCAAATGTCCAGTCTCTTAAATCTGAAAACTTTCCTGCAGGTGGCAGCAAGCCCAGAGTGTCAACACCATTGGTGATTCGCAAGATTCGCGAGTACAAGCAAGAAAATGGTGCCCTCTTTGCGTGGGAGATCCGAGAACGGCTGCTGTTCGACGGAGTCTGCCCACGGGATTCTTTGCCAAGCATATCATCAATCAACAGGATCTTACGCCGTACTCTAGGAAGATCAAAGCCACAGAGGCACAGCGCAGATGGCCAGTCCGACACTGAGCACCATCTGCCCATGTCCATTGGACTCCGTGCTCAAAAGAGAACCTTCTTCATAAAAGATATCCTAGACCGGCACACATAAAACAATCGCCAACAGTGACCTGACAAGGGTGGAGAGTTGGGCGAGTTGGTGATTCATAATGGTTAAAAAGTGCAACAGAACAGCGGACAGAAAGGAAGACACAGACACAGCGCCACGTCTTCCTTTCTGTTTGTTGTCCTGTTGCTCTTTTTAACCGTTACGAATGACCTAACCTGACATCAAGTTGTGGTCACAATCGAGTTAATCTCCAATGGGCATAGGCAGTTGACACCTGCTGAGATTTGATGAAGGCTGATGTGTACAGGTTTGATTACTATTACACCTAAAATAAAGTCACAGTTGCATTTATTGTTTGTGGATTGTCATGTTTTCTCAATAAAAATAATAATAATAAAAAAAAGCATTTACAAAAAAAAAAAAAAAAAAAAACACATTTTGCTGTGTGAAAGGCCCTCATTGATGTTGCTGAAACGAGCTGAGCACACTGTGATAACCCAGCGAACGTAACTCGTTGCGTCAGCCTACCATGGTTCGCTTTCTACCACGCTGTTTCACGTCCTCGAACCTCTTCATGATGTCACCTGCCTTGTGGCCGTAGTGCTTGCAGTAACTCTTGAGAACGCGCTGGAAGGGAACCTCCATCCCCGGATGCGCGCTGAGAAACGCTCTCTCCAGGACGTAGAGATCGACGCCTTTGTCTTCCGCAGTTTCGCTGATGAAACTCAAACCGAAATCGATCACGTACATGGCCGGTTTAGGCGAGTCGCGGTTCTGGATCAGCAGGTTGGACGTAGTCAGGTCCCCGTGAATGACGTCGTTCTTGTGCAAGAGCGCTATCAGTTCGCCAATTTTGTCCATTAGGAACTCCAAACACTTTTTGTTGTTGTCTTTTGTGGCGTCCCTCTGAAGAGCAACGATGGAATCGCGCGCGGTTTCGGAGTTCTCAATGAACCCGGTGACGATGAGCCTTGAAGTCACGTCAACAAAGTACACCGCAGGCACCGGGACGCCGCCTAGCCGACTCCTTCGCAAGGCACGGGCTTCAGCTTTGATCCTCTCCGCAGTAAGCAGTTTATCCAAGTCGGCGTGTCTGTACTTTTTTACGAACCGCTCCTTGAAGATTGCCGCCTTGCCGAGGTACACGCCCCTGTATACCTTCGCTTCTGCTCCTTGTTTGAACAATACCACATCAAAGTCGTCCATCGTATATAAATACAGCGGTGAATTCGCTAGCGTGTCTAAAATGACTAAAAGGAGCAGTACAAGCTCGGATGACTTCGGCGTGGACGCAATTTTTCAAAATCACAGACCGTCGCCATGTTCACCCATTGTTGCTCCCACGTATCTCACGTTTCTGTTTCAGCGACAAAACTAGAAATAAAACATGCTGCAAAAACCTGTAAAACCAAAAGATTACTGCAGGTAAGTAAACTAAGTAAAGTGTTGAAAAAAGTTATATTATTTTTATAAACCAATATGAGCTACAGTGTAGTTATTTTGATTCTCGTAATTTAGAAAATTTCTTTTTAATGTGTCCTATTTATTTATCTAAATAAAATATGTATTCGAAAATAATTTTATTGTTTCTTAATGCAAGCGTTTTAATAAAAGTTCTGGTAAAAAAATTAAATCTTTGCGTTTCTTGCAGCGCCACCAGTTAGCACTGTAGCAATACGAAACTTTCGCAAATATCGGTTGTTAGGTGTAGGCCACGGTGTGTGTAGGCTGTGGGGATCGAGTTGGGGTGGAGATTCGCGTTGCGTTTTTAGATACTGGCACTTTGTTGACCAGTGTGGGGCATTTTGAGGTCGGCAGTCATTTACGGAGTTTGACTTGTAAACTACGAGAAACAGAAATCGTGCAGCTATGAGCTTCTTCTCGAGAATGTTTGGCGGTGGGAAGGGCGGCGAAAAAGCTCCTTCCCCTGGAGAGGCAATTCAGAGATTGCGTGAGATAGAGGAAATGTTAAATAAGAAGCAGGATTTTCTCGAGTCCAAGGTAAAACTAGAGTTAGATCAAGCCAAAAAGCACGGAACGAAGAACAAGAGAGGTGAGCGGCAGCAGCATTGTGCCTTGACGTGCCAGTGTGCAACGTATGGAAAGTGCCGTCGCGTCGTTGATGAGATTCAAGCCACGCATTGTCAGCCGTCATGCGATTAATATTGACGTGTCAGTATGTAGATTAATCGTGGCTTCCCAACACTCGCAAAGAGGTTGTCTGAACTGCGGAAGTTGGTCAGGATGAGCAAACTTTACAAACACACCACGTTTCAAGCCTATCCTACAACTGCGTCTTCTGCAAAGAGGTGTTGTAATCATGTGTCTCACGTTAGATATCTTGAATGAGTCACACGGCTGAACTGCTCTACCGATCTTTGACTAACTAATTGTGAATAGCGTCCAATGATCTGTAAACAAAACTGCGAGTACTAGAGCGTGTAATCGCATCGTAGCTAAAAAAAAAAAAAAAACGCTCGGCAGCCAGGGAGCTGACGGAAGTACGTAGCTAGTGTTGTGGGGCATTTTGACAACCACTGTGTTTCAAAGTTAACTGCCGAAACACATTGCTACTCAGGTTTTTAGAATTATAAATAGACATACCCGTAGTTAATCAATTTAATTAGTGTGTTCGTTCCCTTGAGAGGAAGCAGTCAATGCTTTGGTTGACATTTAAGTGACAACGTTTGGTGTATGCCATTTATGGAACATAATTTATCTCGTAAGACTACCTTTCTTTAGCAGGTATTGCTTGCTGACAGTAATGCCACTTGACCACTTGTGAAAGGATTTTCACTACAGTGCTATGCTAACACCAAATTTATACTTATTGTCATTACAATCTTTGGAAATAACACAAAATGTGATTGCACACATGGTACCAGTAATTTATGTTTTGACATCATCTGAACCACCATGTATTGCAAGCAAATTGTACAAAAACTGGTAGGATTTACAATGTTCTCTTACACACACAATATTTTATCCGGTTAAATCTATCTAATCTCAAACAGCCACCCTTGAGTTTGTTGTTCAGGAGTAGCAGCTTCTAGGCCTTATGGCAAGACACACATTTATTAGTCTATTTAAGGTTTTCTGTAGCCATTATAGTTTCTTAGCTTCTGGTTCCATAATTAATGAACTTGATATAGAGATGATCGATGAACTGGCAGTCATATGAGTTACACTGCAAAAAGGGGGAAGGCGTGCTGAAGGTCTTTAAAGTTGGATGCAAATTATGCTTCGTTGTATGCTTCTTCGAGGCTATTTTTATAGTATTCTGGTCTCATCACAATGCAGTCTAACATCAAGTTCTGAATGCAAGCTTTTCAAAGTGCTTTGACACACATGTACTTCTGCAAGGTAGTTACGTGGTTCATACTACAGAGGTTTCTAGCTGCAAATTTGACGAATTCTTCATTGGCTGAGGCAGAACATACTTCTTAACAAAGCTTGCTTCTTCTGTGCTGTTTTTTAGGTGAACTGGTCTTTTTTACCTCTATGTGATGTAGTTTGTGGTTTTCTTTATTGCAGCACATATTCTCCTTGGCATATATTTCTTGAGCTGTTAAGTATGGTAACTCCTGCCACATTGGAACCCTGAAGCTCGAAGCAATTTTACTTGAACTTCACAGCATTGTGACAACTGTTTCAAACTAATTTGGCTGTATCAGGCTGTGCTATTGCTGTGACGATTCTTTTTATTGTATGCTTAAATGTTTGGCATACACTGGATTTCAGCCGCCCTTGCTGCTTTGAAGCGGAAGCGCAGGTATGAGAAGCAGCTTGCACAGATCGATGGCACCCTGACCACCATAGAGTTTCAGCGAGAAGCACTTGAAAATGCTAACACCAACACAGAAGTTCTCAAGATCATGGGCCTGGCTGCCAAGGCCCTCAAGAATGCTCACGAAAACATGTAAGTATTATGTTGAGTGCAATAGCTACAATGTTCCTATGTCCTCTTCATCTGAGATAGATTATGCTTCTCTTTATCTTGGTGTGGCTATGAAGTTAAGGTTTTGACAGGGTGGCCTTCATAGATATTGTGCCATAAAAACTTGTGAAGGTTTTGAGTATAATTATATTTTAGAAGCTCACACGTGGGGGGGAGGGGGGTGCATTTTTTACCCTGAAAGCAAAACCCTGAGAACTAAGTAGCACCTAGCATCGCTTAGGGAGACCAGAGTGATTTATCACATTTGTATCGAGTAGTTTCTCATATTTCTGGGTTCATGCTACAAACCACACAGATGCCTCTATGTAAACAGTGCCCTGTAACAAAAGTGTAAGCATTGACAGATAATATAAGCTGCTATAATGCTTCGTTTAATATTGGCATGAAAAGGGACAAACATGCTGAATGTGCCAAAAAATGTTGTACTGCATTCCGTGCAGTGGTGTGTGCCTCCAGAACACCACTGATTGAATACTGTCTGTTTGGGTGCATTTATAACGCGGAAAGAGAACTCCGAAAGACAAGGCGGGGGTAGGGCAATGGTGAGACCCGGAGTTTGATTCCTGGCCCCACCAAAGATTCTTTTTCAGTGGCTTTGTAGCATTTCTCTCATTCAACCAATACAGTTGATTCATTTGCATATTTCTATTTGTATCACTCAATAAACACTTCCATGTTGTTACACTGAAAGTAAGTGAAGGTATATAATGAAAGGTAGCATTTTTTTTTTGCAATTCATGTGATTTCTCTATTAGCTTTTATTTTTTGTGTTTTTTGTTTCCCAAAAGTTGTGCTGCCCAAGTCGGGTGTTAATATTGAGTATACTTTTGGTACTGTATGACACTGGCATGTTCTGAGTGGTACTAGAAACTAAACTCGTGTCCCATTCATCTCTCCACTGCCTTGCGCTGCACTAGTGGTTGCAAAACATTTGCCTGTTCGAGGTTGTATGGTTGCATGTGTTTGTCTAGAACTTTGTGCAGCGCACAGCACTGGTGTGGTGGTGCAAACACTGTACTGCTAAAAATGGCTGTACGATTGTATGCACCACAGCTATCCGTGACCTTGAACTACTCTTTCCTTTCATTGGCACATTGCTTCCCTCCCTTTCTTGGTAAACATGGTGGCTGTTGCCTTAGGTATTGTCTTACCTCATTTATGAAGATGACATAATTAGCTCAAAGAAACATTTCCCTTGGTCATGTAAATCCTTGAGGACAAAGTTCAATTTCTAAGGAGGAAGTTAAATTTTTCATTAATATGGACACCACTGTTCATTCTAAAAATCATCCATAATGTGAGTCGTCCATAATAGCGAGACAAAAATGCATGTACTTACCCCATTCATCCCCCAAAGTTTTGTCTATACAGCGTGATGGCCACATTAACGGGATCCGTATTAACGAGACACGGTTGTACAAATTGCTTTATATAACATGCTAGTTGGTCTAAAACATATATACTGTATGGTGCGAGCCGCTGTCAGATGTAGGTGGTTTCTCTGTAAACGCTCGCCAATGTGTGCTTGTTCCCCGACATGATCTTGTGTAGTGGGGTTCACTCACTGTGAGGTTGTTTGCAGCGCACCAATCCATCTTTCGAGCTATTCAGTTTATATGAAATGAATAGTGGTTGACATCATACTCCACTGCATTAAAATTTTAAAGGTTACCTTTATGCATGTACGAAAGGTAAAGAAACTTCCTGATTGATCAGCTTATCTGAACATGGAAATGTGTCTTGTATGCAGTTTGGAGAATGGCCTATGACACATTGAATTCTACATTTAGGACTGGGCAGGCATATAATGTAGAAGTACCCCACAGAAGCTATATCATCTAGGAGGCCGGCACACTATGTCATTGTTAGTGGATCCCTGGCCCGCCTCACGTGGCAAATGCGCTGCAGCTCGACGAAAGTTTGCAGCAAAGCGCCAGACTCGTGCGCCTTGGCGTCGCCATGTGCTAGCTTTACTCTTGTTACGAGATGCTGAGAGACGCTTTTGCGGCGACATGGATGCTGGCTGGACAGCCAGGCACGTAGCCAGGATTTTGGTTCGGGGGGGGGGGGGGGGGGGGGGGGGGCGGCGGCGGCGCCGCGCGGCGCCCATGACAAAATGCTGTATGAGGGAGAGGGGGGAGAGGAGGTTCCAGCAAAATGGCAGATTTTGGGGGGGGGGGGGGGGGGCCAGGGCCCCATGGGCCTCCCCCCTGGCTACGTGCCTGTAGACAGCGCTGTGTGCATCCGCTAGTGGTGATGTCGAGGAGTGGCGCGGGCCTGGTCTTTAGGTGCCATTGGTAGGATTGTACCGGAAAAGAGCGTAGAAATTTATTGTGGTTAAAACTGCTAGCTCTTTGGCAATGAGAATAGATTCACAGGATGAAAAAGAAGCAACGCCGTTTCTTAGATTAATCCAGGCCATTAATTAAGTGCTGGTTTCTTTCACTTCTCTCAACTGGTCGATAGGCTTGAGAGGTATGTGTAAGGTTTGGACATGTGTGACATTAGCTTGGGCTGGATGTTCTGATTGCCAATGATGATCTATTAGTATAACACAATATGCACGAGTCAGGCACCTCATGCCGTCGTGACCACTATTGTGTGTGGGGCTGAGCATATTGTGACGCAAGGTTGTTCTTTTCTAGGGATGTGGACAAGGTGCACGACCTCATGGATGAGGTGCAGGAACAGCAGGAAATTGCCAATGAAATTTCGGAGGCAATCTCTAACCCTGTTGGATTTGGCACTGATGTGGATGACGTAAGCAATTTTCTTCAGTGGTTTAACACTTTCTATAAGTGCTACCACACCTTTCCTTTTGAAAGTTCTTGGACTGGCAGCTTTTGCAATTATGTTCTCATGGAGCGTTTTATCTGTAATGCTTATAGAATAGTCCCAAAATTTTAAATATTCAAAATTCTCGCAGTCTTAATTCACAGTGCTCAACGAAACGAAACGGACCTGCGCAGCATTTGGCCCCACTAGAGTAACCTTGTATAAGTCGCTTGAGGAGCGTATAGAGTTACTCTAGCCTAGAGTAACCACATGGCTCTGCCATTTGGTTAATCAAGTAATCTCTAGAGTTACTGTGTCTGTACGGGCCACGAGCTTCACTGGTTCATTTAGTTTCGTTGAGCACTGTACATACTTATATTTGCAATAAACGGCGTGTAACTAAGGAGGATATGAATTTGCTGACATGCCACAGCTTTAGTGCATGTAATATAGTCGTAATATCAGAAGTGAAAAAATTGACAGTGTACTTTTAATGAAAAGTTTTACTGTGCAATCCATTTATAATGATAATGAGAAAACCTGAAATTTTGATCGTTATAACCGCTTATTGTTGTATCTGGACTAGGAACTGGTCATTTCTAGTCTAGAAACTCTAGAAACTGATCATTATGCGTAGTACATCATTATATGTGGTGTCATTATAAGTGAATTGTGCACTGTACCCTTCGCTTTCATTAGAGTGAGTGATACCAATTTGAAAAAGAATAAAAATTTCGTTCATCTCTTTCAGAAACGTTGAAGCAGCTGCAAGTCCATTGTTTGTCAATCGTTGTTTGCTTGTTCTTTTTGAGCTCATGTTTATTGTAACATCACAGTTCAATTTATTTGTTGATAATGAGATTAGGAAGTCCGTAAGCCACCTTTATGACTCAAAGCACAGTGCTGGCCTTCGGATTTCCAAGTGGTAGGTTCTAATCTGCTTAAACATCCATAATCTGACTGAGGCAGGTTGCATTATTGGCAACATGTCCCCAAGAATTCAATTGCATGTCGCAGATCCCTATGTAATCTGCATTAATCCTCACTTCTTTCCTGGGCATAGGATACCCCTTGTTTAGTGCGCAACGCCCAAAATTACATGCTCTATCTTAATTAGTAACTCCGCCTAATTTTTGTTTTTGAAAAAAAAAAAAAAAAATAACAGTGCAGTCCTCTCTGGTATCACCTGGAAAGACCACACATCAAATATTACGACCTAGTTCTGTTGAAATGTTCCTTAAATGATCCGGCAAACCTTCAAACACGCGAAGTTGCCGAAATGGGCTGACTTTAGTGGGCGAATTGAGACACAATCAACAGCTCAGTCAAGGCTACAGTGTTGGTGTAGCTAACATTTAGATAGACGTCATCAACATTGCTACTTTTTGTTCTTTACTTCTCCGGGCAAGTGTAGCAGGTGACATCAGCAGCATTTCCTCTCGGTGCTCAGCGGTGTTCACATTATTGGCGTAGCGCGCCTGCGCAGCGCGTTTCTCAGCCTTGGGAGCCGTCCCGCCATTGCCGCCGTCAATGTCTCGCCGTTTAGTGGTTATTGTCTCGAGTTTCATTCACGCTACGTGCGCAGACTCATGCCGCAGTGGTGCAGACGTCGTCAAATATCCTAGACACGAAAACGTGGCGGTTGTCGTCGCGTAGAGGATCCCGTGACCGCTCATACCACATGGTAGCCATGTTTTTGGCGGCCTGAGGCCTATGTTGCCCGATGGGGCCGAAGTTTCGGTTTTGGTTTCTGCTCATATTTAAAGTAAGCTTTCACAAGATATATCCTATTTTTCGTGAAGCAAATGACATAGTGCCTTTTATTAGTGCTTTTTAATGTGAAATCACTCGGAATCACAAAATTTTTGGAATTGAGCAGAGTTTCCCTTTAAGTCTCCATGTCTGATATCTGTTATTTGATTCACAGATGTAGCTCGATTGCTTGTCTCTTCTTTCTGTATCTAGGATGGCAGGCAGGTGTACTTCTGCAATCGGAGCACTACAGAGGAGTGAACTTAACAGTAAACATACAATGCCAGTTGCAGCAGTGTGTGGCACTGGAAACTGTTTCTTACGATTACCCATGTCATGCCAAGCTGCTGTAGCCACAGCATTGCATTAATTGAGAATTTCCATCTGGCTCACGCAGGATGAGCTGCTCGAGGAGCTAGAGTCGCTGGAGCAAGAAGAGCTGGACGAGAAGTTGATCGACGTGGCTGGTCCAGCTACGGAGAACCTGCCCGAGGTGCCCACGGCAGAACCTGCCCGCGTCCGTAAGTTTTGGGGAAACCATTGTCTGCCTTTACTTTTTTCTAGCCTACAAGCCTCAGTGCTTTCATCCTGTGGGAAATGGTTCCGAGCTGGCAGCACTACTTCACTTGTTCTTTACTGTCAGTTTTCAAATATATTTTACTTGGGCTTCTTAGGTATGTGCAATCGCCGACCGATTCTTCGGACGCCGATGATTAGGATTTGTTCAATATTTCGGACCTAAAGGATGAACCGTGACCTACCCAATAGAAATAGTGCATATTCACGACCAATGTTTCGAACAGCTTGAAGTCCGAATGTTAAATTTTTCGGACAAAATTGTCGCGAGCGATCAGCAGAAAACACCACCGAGAAGTGGCCATTTTGAATTCTATGTTGGCTGCACATGGATTGGCTTGGTTTGACAGAACTACTTGAGTAGTGCGAAGTCCAGTGATAGGATTGCTGCGCCCATTGCGCCAAACTGCACCAAGGGGCTAACCCTGCTACATCCTGCTACATCCTGCTACATTTTGCCAAAATATGGGTATTCTGCACCAAGCCTGTGCCAAAAATCCAATTTCGGTCGCCTTTCAAAACCGAAACTAAACTGAGTGCCGTAATTAAGCAAGCGTGTGTTATGTGGCGCAAGCGGCCCGATAGACGCGGGTGTGTGCGGACGCTCAAACACTAGCGTGCCGGGTACCAGTATTACCGCCATGCCATGAAACGAAACCACGTTTTTGCGCGGCGGGGGTTACTTTGCAAGCTGAAGCACTGGCTCCTGAAAGCAACGGCCGTGGGAAAACTATATTTGGTCCCTGCCTTCCAGTCACCGTGGTCGCACGACATCGGGTGTTGCCGTCCCCATGTCGCTGCAGATATGGTGCTTTCTAAATGAAACTGAGTACCGCCTCAAGTTCATCAACATACCCATACCTGCCAACTCTTCCGAATTTTTCGTAAAATGTACGAATTGGGACTAACTTTACGATTTTACGAACCTTGCTTCAAATTTTACGAAAAAAAAATTATATAAAAATTATTTTTTTTACTTTTTTTTTTATGAAATTGTTGCTGGCGGTATTTTGTACCGCCACAAGAGGGCTATAAGTACCGTCCATGGCAGCGTCGTGGTTTTTACTACCCGTCTATCCCTTAGTCACGGATCCGAAACCAATCCAAAACCCAAAGCCTTTGTTCGTGTGTTCGGCGGCGCACGTTGGTTCGGCATGTTCTAACGTGTTTGGGCCTCTCTGTTTCGGCCAGTTTCGAGGCGAGCAATGCGGCTTCTGTGTGTGTCTGGTGCACTTGTAATCGTAGCATTCCCCTGGTCGCGGTGGCTTCGCGGCGCAATGTCGAACTCCAAACCTCAAAAGAGGTACTTTGAGGTGTTCCTGAAAGTCCTACACGTCGGAATTCCCGTGCTTCGTGCCGACCAAAAGTGGAGAGAAGTTTGCATTCCTTAGCACGTGCACGTGTGACGTAAGCGTTTCGCAGGGTGACTGCATATTGCTTCGCCTAAAGACCCCCCCCCCCCCCCCCCCTCCCCTGCGCGGCCGCGTGAGTTTTACGAATTTGAGAGTCCACAGGTTGGCAGGTATGCATACCTGTTCTTGTTTAAATTGTACGTTACTAGAAAAATCACTCTTTAACTCAAAGACTCCTTTATCGAAGTATTGATCACGTAGGTTTCTCTCAATGTGCTTTCTTTCGAGAGGGACCACGGTACGTGAAAATTTTGCCGCGAAAGAAAGTGGGTGAAGAGAAATGAGCTAAAACAAAAAAGGCAATGCCTGCACGCTGAACCCGCAGAGCGCGCTTGTGTCTCTCGAGTTCAGTCGTTGCACAAAGTGCTCCAAAAACTTTTTGACCCTGGCTCGTATTTGCTGAACCTTTTTGCCAGCCTGGCAAGCACTCGCCGCTGGACTGTTTTTTGTCGTATGCTCGACAGTTACATTTTGCATACAATTTTGGGAATCGGTTGGCGACGGAGCGGAGAGGCATGGCTTCGGTTTCAATTGAACAGCCGTTGTCTCTGCTCGCACGAAGAAGCATGCGTAACTGCAAGCCTGCCGAAGTTGCCCTCACGTGCATGCGAACATGATTGCGCGACAGAGGCACTAGCCGGGATGCTTGCAATTTATTGTTTTACGTTTGCTTACTTTCGACAAAAATCTGGCACGTTGGGTACCAGTAAAACGGTGGCAAGTGGTTTTTCGGAATTGCTCGGCAATGCCTACAACACTGTACACTTGTGGGATGTCCCAGCAGTAAAAATGCAAGCAGCTAGTTCCATCACAACACGTCACATCAGAACAAAACACAAAGTGCCCTTCATTTATACAGCACCTAAAACAAATATTTTTATTTTTATAAGAATATGTGCTTCAAAAGCCACTTTGCTGCTCCTAGAAACTGTCTTGGCTGCTACAAAAGCTACTTTTGCTGCTCCAAAACACCGTTGTCATTGCTCCAAAGGCCACATTTGCTGCTCCAAAGCACTGTTTTAGCTGCTCCGACAGGTGCTCCAAAATGGCTTATGCCAATCACTGTAAGTCGTACCGCTAGGTGACGCTGCGCTGCTTTTTTTTTTTTTTCTCTCTAGCTACGTGTCATCATTATCATTGTTACCATTTTGATTTGTTCATTCGCCATTGCCGTCGTGAATTTGCGCCTCTCATCTCAATCTCGTCTCGGTGAATTGTGTTTTGGGACTATGCTGGCTTGGACGTCATAGCCCCATCTGTTGCGCTGCCGCGATGTGTTGCTATAAAGCGCAGAAGGTACTCGATTGTAATGCCAAAAAAGATGGCAGTGATTCTCAGGCTAATAGAAAGTTGCCGAATGCAAGCAGAGGCTTAACTTGAAACAAGGCGCGCAGGCGTAACCTGAAGCAAGTCACTATTTACAGCTTTTTTAAGCCCGCTTAGATGTAATAAAGGCAAGTTTTTTAGTCTGGTGATTTTTCGGACTGTTCTATTATTAGGATGTTTTTTCGGTCTCTGTGAAGTAAAAAAAATCGGTCGGGAACTGTATAGGCTGCTGGATACTGGTTACCTCCTGTCTTGATTTCGTTATGCTGTCGATTGCTCTGTACGCAAGCCACGATGCACTGTATTTGGCTAGTGCCACTTTCTTGTGCTTTTGTTTGTGAACAGTGTCTTGAGCTTTTTACTTGAACTTGATCAAAGTTGCCACATGTCACCCACTGCATTACTGTGGGTGACATGTTCTTGTGCAACATATCTTAGGAAGGACTTCCTTTAAGTTTTTTTTCCCTTTATCTGGCCATGACTGAGTGGTTCCTTTTTGGTGTACTGAAAGCAACTTATATTGTGTTGTGTTCATGGATCAGTTTACACCCAATCGTAATATGATTCCAACGAAGCGTTCCTGAACGTAGCATTTTATCAAATGTACTGTATGTTAAGCCTACAAGTGGATAATTTTTTTCAGTATATGCTTTTTAAAGAAGATTAATTCTTTGGGGACTTTGCACTTATATAGTAAATTAAAAATGAATAGTGGCCAATACAGTAGTAATTATTATAGGTGTGCGCTTCATCCATTTGTCAAGAGAACAGCTCTTGCTAGCACGAAATAATGCCATTATCCAGCATGTGGCTTGTCGTACTCTTGATGGTTGTGGCAGTGTTTTAGTTGCTAGACAATAGGAGAGAAGCATAATTCCTACCTTGGTTTTTGTTGTCTTGTGCAGCGAAAACCTGATTGGTACATTGTCTTTGTGCCTTGCCTTTTACAGACAACCCCACAACGTAAATGGGAATATTTTTAGTGGTTGTAAAAAGTGCCCACCAGATGGCTCTACAACTCCTATGCATTAAAGTACTGGATGGATTCTAATCATACAAGTACTGCCAGATTCCTTCAATGTGCTTCTGGTCATGAAACTTCTCAATAACGCTATGGGAGTGTTTTGTTTGGGAACGTGCCGTGGCGCTGGCGTCGACGAAAGGATGGAGAGAGCCGCCGGTCTGGTCGCCACCACTGGGACTCTAGCAACCAGGAAATGTTATCGGAATTTCAGGCCTACTCTGAATTAACCACACTTAGGTCATCTTTAGCTCTGTGCACTCACTCAGCTGCTTAAACTTTCTTCTCTGCAACGATCACCTAAAATTATGTCATCTTTCATTCTTTTTCTCTGTCTCAAAAGGACTTCAATACCATTGCCAAATTTCAGCGCTGCAATGGGCGCCATCTAGTGGAGGCACTGTGAGCCCGTGCGATCAGTTGCCTGGCTCTTTCGCTCAAGAAAGTATCATTCGGTGAAAACAAGCAGAAAAAGCTTATTTGTAAGTTCTATTGTTAGAGATCAATGAGGAATAACTGGTGCTTGCATACAGTGATCAGTTACAGGCGTAACAAAGTGTCAATGTATGAGAAGTTGTTTTTATAAAACTACTTGTCACCACAAGTTTCGATTCGCTTACAGAGGGTGAGGCTAAACGAGAACAACCCCCCCTCTACAGTGGTGCATCTAGCAGCAGTTTCTCTCCTTGTGGCAAACCGGAAGTTCTGTGACCAGAAGCATATTGAAGGACCCTGATACCAACACGGTCATTCATGACTACTCTGGGTGCTTTGCTGTTATGGCAAAGCATCATGCAATGGCAAAGCATGTTAATGCATGTAATGGCTGCTGGCAAGTTGGAATATCCAGCACTTCACTATACATTATATTCCAGGTTGCTGACATTTTTAAATTGGGCTGCTATAAGTGCAAAAATGTATGTAGATACATAAAAATGGGTAGACCGTGGTTGCCAAAGCTCCAATTTCTGAAAGTGGCAAACAAAAACTCGGTCCTGGAGGCTCGAGCAATAAAAACGGGTGATTGCATTTGCATTTGACCAAACATGTTGGGGGGCCTTTGGATCTTTAAAAAACAATATGTATGATTGCTCAATAACCTGTGATGAACACAATGGTGCTTTGTAAAAATCTGAAGTGCCAAGAAAGGGGGGGGGGGGGGGAGATACGTCACACTTTATTTGACCTTTTTTAGCTACTTTGGCCATTGTCAGACTGTTGGTATTTGTCTTTACAGTATTAAGTGTTTTGCGTCATGTTTTTCCTGAACTTGCTTGCCTGCATATTTTCACTACTTGCGTTAATGACAGTTATATTAGTACAGCTTTGAGCACATACGTTGCGAGTTTTGGTGCATGTAGTAACCTGCATATAAAGCAATTTTTAGTGCTTATGTTCCTACTCAAAATACGGAGTGTCCCCGAAAAACGGTTTACAGTGTCTTCACCGCAAACATAAACTATGCATCGCTGAACGCTCAGTCTCCGCCTAAATGTAGTGCTAGTAGTCTGGACCAGATGCCAAAGTTTCAGAACTAGTCGTTATCTTATTCGAGTTATGAGTGGTTTTCGGAAAATTTCAATTGGAAGATGGTGGCCAATGAAGCCCACAAATACAGGAGGATGACTGGTGTCAACTTCTGGGAACGGGTCTCATTTTCTCATTGCAAGTTAAAGAAAATCACCAGCAACTCTTGAATTGGGTAACGTTTAGTTCTGAAACTTTGGCATGTGATCCAGACTGCTAGTGCTGCATATGGGTGGAGACTGAGCATTTGGCAAGGTAGAGATTATTTTTGCCATGAAAAAAAACAATTACATTTTTTTGGGGGGACACGCTGTATTTCTTTTAGTTGCAACGCTTTCAGAGGAAGTTTTATTGTAGGTAGAAAGTCGGGAGGTGATGACAAGAAATTAGCTTCCCATTTCGGGCTCGTATCTCTTTCTGCTCTGGAGGCGATCGCAAGAGTGTTTTGATAATGACATTGCCATGCGTGAATATCGTGTGCTCATCAAGTATGAATACCATGTGCTTGTACAGTATGAACATGGTTAGATTACTAAAATGCATATTTTTTATTTTCTTCAGCTGCAGCTGCATCCAAGGCAAAGGTTGCAGTGGAGGAAGACCCAGACATGATGGAGCTGGCTAAATGGGCCTCCTGAATGAATAATGTTGTTCACACACACACACACCTGTCTTGACATCCGCAAGCAGCGCTCCTGGTGAATATCTCTCCAGTGCACTTCAGCTACCATTGTGCGGGGGGTGTCAATTTGTTTTATTATTTTTCCTGAGGCTCTAACAATGTTTTGGTGGCATTTGTTTTTTTTTAGAATGTTTTGTAATTAGTAGGCTGCTTCCTTATTCTGGATGTGATAATGGGGAATCATTGATGTGTCAGTCCATTGACTTTTGATATTTTGTTAACTGTACATTGCATAGCAGGCAGGGGCAAAGAGGCAGAAACACAAGTTTCATTGTGGATCTTTTAAAATAATAAAGTAAGGTGCATCATGGCTGAATGTAGCTCGTGAATTGAACAGGAGCATGCATCACCGGTTGGCTTGCGCTCGGTGGCCGCCTCGGTGATTCGAGGCGAGAGCACCGGCCTACGGATCCCCATGTGGCGGGTTCGAATCCCGGCCAAGGTGCCCGCAATCTGACGGAGGCTTATTGCGGAGAAAGCGCCGTGTAACCGAGCTTTTGGTTGCACGTCAAAAGATCCCCAGGTGGTCCAAATTAATCCTCAGTCCGTCACTGGGGCGTGCCAGATGCCCGTCGTTTGTTTGGCACGTAAAACCCTCAAATTTGATTTGGCTTGCGCTCGGTGACACTCAATCTGACAGAGAATATTGGCATTCGCATAAGTGGACTATTAGTTGAGTTACGGAAAATGATGAGTCTAACAATGTCTGGCTCGTGACTGTGATGAACATTGGCAGCACAAGGCACCGAAAGATAACCTGACGACTTGTTTTGGTCACGAGTTGACAAGGTGTGCGCTTCTTGATAATCTCCAGTGATTTGCAGTGGGGTGGAGCTAAATATAAATTCATGTCCTAAATATAAAGAAGTGATTACACCAAGTAGTACTTGGTAATTCTTGTGGATTCAGCACTCTCAAAAAAATTGCAAACTGAAAAAAAAAAAAAAAAATGTTGGTTTAGAGAATTTTTTGTCCTTCCCTGTCTTGCTACCCGTTTTTTTACACTCTGGGACGCTACCATCTACCAAGAGTTTTCCCTGGGTACATGTGACCTGATGACACACATAGTTTCTGACGGTTTAAACATGCTTATGAAGTGTATGGGCGCTGTTTTCAGAGTTCTCATTTGTAATGAGGTCTCTGAAAAATTGCATTTTTGCCAGACATGTAGAATGCAGCAGAAGTGACAGACACCCCTGTATTTTGTATCTTCCCTTAATTTAACCTAATGTTTCCCCCTGCAAATGCACGAAGAGGTGCTATGACAGAAGCAATAGAGATGTTGTTTTATGATTGACGGGGGTTAGTGACGGATGGCAGAGTCCACCGGGATGTTAGTGTTTTAGGAGGCTGTAAATATGACTGCTGTTGAAACGAAGTCGCCTACGATCGCCTCGCAATTAAGTGTTGCAGTGTAAATGCTAAAGAAATCCAATACAAATTTCACTTCCTAATCAAAATGAGTGCAGAGGTTTGTAGAGCCTCCATATACCAACTATACAAGAGTATGACACACTGGCATCATTGTTGCTGATAGCAGTCCTGAACTAAATCTCTTTCCACTTGAGGCACGTTCAGACTTACAAGTCGTGCAAGAACTTTTGTCGCAAAATTGACCGTTTTTGAGCGATCGCTTCCAGACCGAATTTGCGGCCACTCGCCGAGTCACCTGGCGGTTTAACCAATCGGAGGTGTCCCAGAAGTGACGTGTGGCGCGGCCCGCGTTTGTTTACATCTGACACGCCGAACGTTTCTGTGACGAGCAACCGACGCCTCGTCGGTTGCTCGTCACACGCCTCGGTTTGCGGTAGTGGCCACGGATACAGAGCCACGGAGTTCTCTGCAGCGGCTCTGGTCACTGCTAGCAAAAAATATATTTTTTTTTTAGCAGCGCCCCGATTCAAATGAGTGCCCAAAAAAGAACAGGGCCTGGCAGCAAATCCATGCCACTTTTGGCTTGACAGGTTCGTACTGCGACATCCAACGCCGTAGCTTGAGCGAGTGCACACCGATGTAGCGATTGTGCTTCATTGTACAGTTTTGAAGGGCCCAGGCTAACATAACGAGTGTTTTTCGTAGGACAACGATGAGGCACACATAGCTGTGAGAACGAAAATGGGAAAGCAGCAAAACCCAAACCCAAGCTGTGGCGGGCAGGAACGTAATAGACGGCTGCTCGCCGATTATCTGCAGTGTGAAGAATGGTGGTTGCTTGTCGCATTTCGCTAGGCGTAAGTGTGAACGCACCTTTAGGTGCTCAAGAAATATGAATAGAAAAAGGCGTATAGGCAGTGCCAAATTCAGAACTCAGTACAAGCTTCTCCCACAAGTGTTATGCTCCTGCTTTAAGTCTCCGCTGTCGAAACAATAGTATGTCTGCTTCGCAACATCAGCTTCATGCGGGAGCAAAGAGAATGAAACTCATTGCTGATCGAATGAGACGACAATGTCCCGCTTGATTTTTTAGCTCGAGAAGAGGTAGGTGGTGGCACAACGTCACGGTGACTGTTCCATAATGTCTTTATGCGGGGTAGGATGAGGCAATCATTGCTTGGCTGGTTTACCATGCAGCTGATTAGAAAGATGGGAATTGGGAAGGGCACAGTGTTTCACAAATGAAACAATTACTATCTTGAAGGGGTCATTTCAGTATGTAGCCTTTATTTATTTCCTTTAAGAAGGAGACAGTCAAGTGAAGCAGCTTGGCAGGGGCGGTGTCACTTGAGCACATCATACACAGTGTGCCACTTGGATAGTGATGACCACAGCATTTTAATGTTATCGCAAAGAAACCACCGTGAAGACGAGCCGATACCGCCATGATTTGGTGACGTGACTTGAAGCTGGGGCTAGTAGAAAACAAATGAAACGAAGCAGGCGGTGTTGGGTGAAATGCCTTTGTGGCCGCATCGAGCCTTACCATTTGACTTAACATGCACATTGAGCCCTTTGATGTTGAACTGTCTTGGGTTCTCTCATCATCACTCAGAAATTACTATGAGCAAATGCAGATATGGCAAAGAATGACACAAACCCGTGTTTGTGTCAGTCCTCACAAATGGAAGCAAATGGAAAAAACAAATAGAAGCGATTGGTTGGCAAAGAAACATGAACCCCTTTGATTCGGCATGTGTCCCTGATTTTTTAACCTTTCTCCAGCTGGGGGAAAAATGAATAGATGAATAGATGTTAAAGGGACCATGAAATTAATTTATGGCTGGGATAAATTAGTTTAGATTGGGATTTTACTAATCGCATATTGTTTAGTTATCCAAAAAAAGGTGGCTAGAAAGTCAAAAGCTTGCTTTCCGGTACGAAAATTTGAAAACCTAGCGGACTATTATATAGGTACCTCCTTTCCTTCAAAAGCTCTCTGCCTTTTCACTGTGGTGCATCCGCGGTACCCAAAGCATGTCAGCCGGCCCCAGCTCACACATTGGACAAGAGCACTGATTCACTATACTATCTCGCTATACTCCATTCACTCCTAAGCCAGCAGTGCAGTGGGAGCTACACACTTGCCGGATCAATCGGCCGTCTCCCTTCCATCACCTGACCCCATTCTGTGCGCGTGGGTATGTGCGAGGGAGCGTGATCGTGTGACTAAAGATAGAAGTGTGACTGGCCCAACGAGCACGTAGCTTCCACAGCACAATCAGCTTAGGGGTGAATGGAGGATGGTTGCGTACGGGGGTACCGCGGAAGCCACGTGCGGGAGAGAGGGGAAAGCAACTTGCCGTATTTACTCGAGTAATAACCGCACTATTTATGCAGAAAACCCGAGGGTTCACTTTTCCGTGGAGCACGCTGATTGCCAATCACCGCGATCGACAACATGACTCCAGCGGTTTACAGGACAGAGATAACGTCTTTGCGCGAAGATACCATCTGTGAAGCTGCATTTGTATGGAGAATCGTGTTCTCGATCTAATTATTCGCTATGTTATTTATGCGCAACGCGATGATTGGCTGTATATGTGCTTTGCAGGAAAGTAGAAGCAAGGGCCTTGTTCATAAATAGTGCGGCTATTACTCGAGTAAATACGTTATATCCAAATTTTTAGCGACAGGCTATTCTAGGGGGAGAATGGTGACGTGCTGGTACACGAAGGAGGGTCCGAGCAAGAGGGGAGTTCCTCCTTTCCCTCCTCTTGAACTGCTAGCTGTAAACTCGTGCCCCTGTACCTTTGGTAATGCTGCACTAGAGTTGCCGACTGATTTTTCGGACTCGAAGGGGACCCCAAAATTGTCCGAATGATCAAGTGGTCCGAAATATTGATTTCAGTCAAATTTTCAAATCTCAGCGCATATTCCGCTGCGTATTGGCCACTTTCCACTTGCTTGATGTCACGTTTAAGTTCTCGTGCAACTTCCACTTTATATTGTTCACTTTTCACTTGTTTGTTTATCTGTTTGATCACGGTGCTGTGCTTTTTCAATGTCTTCGTTGGCAAAAACAGCGAAGTTGATTTGGAGACAACATTTAGTTTACCAAGCTCGCTTCAATGCTAAGCCTACCGGCAAAAAACCTTTGTGCTCGAAGACCGCAAGAATGGCTAACGGTCGCCCTTCTTGTGGTTGCACCCAAAAAACACGGACCACGAAAACAACTGGAAGAACCATAAAAATGAACAGAAGGCGGCCATGTTGGCTATAATGGAACCGGAAAACTTGACTATAGCCTCAACCCAGCTTGTTTTTTGCGTAGGACGTAATATTGCGGCTACAGGGCAAAATCAAAACAACCGAAATGGTGGCGACTAAGCTCGCAGTGCTATTGCAGTGGCTGTTTTGTGGCTGGAAACTGAGGAAATCACGCAAATTATGTCCGAAATATTGAGCAATAAGCTTTATTTGAAAATTTTGGTTAATGGGGTGAGTGACAGTTCGGCGGAAACGTCCGAATAATCGAACGTGTCGAAAAATAGGTGTCCGAAAAATTGGTCGGCTATTGTATTTGGGAGTTGAGGAGGAAAGCTAAGAAGGAAGAAATTTAAAAATCATTTCATGGCCCTC